GAACACATAAATGTTTAGACCAAATAGCTTAAATCTCATAACATTATACATTTATTGCTTTTATTATATTGACCTTTCAGCAGTGCCTGGCTAACAATACAGAAGTTTGAATAACGCAGCTCACGTGACCGTATCAAGTAACATAAAACTGACCTTTGGTCTGTGCAAAATAATTTGTCTTGGCTGTGCTTTAATTGACTAGTATTTTGCAAAATACATTCATATTTCAATTATTATACATTATATATATACACATATAGATTATTGTTATTTTGAAATAAGTTCTTCAGCATTGCAAGTATACCAATTTAAAATAAGTGGCAGGAAAATTATTTTTAGCTTTCTAAGAAAGTAATTAGATGTAGTAAAGAACAATGAAGTTTAGTGGGAAGTTTAGAAGAAAAACTGAATACAAACTGGAAATTTTTTTTAGCTTGTTTTGGTGTTCTTTCCATTCTTGTGAATGTTTTTGCATAACATCACATTTCTTTGAGAGTGTTAGTAATTAGTAACTGCATTAACCCTTTCGAGATGGGTCACAGGTGAAAGGCCATGTCATCTCGTTAATTGGTTCGCATTAAAAATTTTATTGAACTAATATTTCATGAATTTATGTCAATAAGTTTGGTATCAAACTGTAGATTATAATTCAAATTTTAGTACTATATATTACTCAGTTTCTTAATTTAAAAGCAAATAAAAAAAAATTAACATTGATTTTTGTGTGGTATGTTGAATGCAGCACTGGTTCAAATTAGATGTTAATGAAGTCAAAATACTAAGTCTTTAGTTTCAAACGAATTACAAACTCAAATTACCGATATTGACAAGCTTGAATATAAAATAAGAGCCTCTTATCTTTTCTATTTGATGAGATATTGCTCATGTAATAAATCAAATATGGTGGCACACCGCCCACATTTTTCCATTTTTGGAAATACTCCCTTATTTACACTTGTATATGACATGACTAACCAATCAGCTCAGAATGTCCCCCTAGTGGCTTTCTCAGCTATTTTAACGGACTTGGCACCATTTATTTCGTTTGAACCAATATTTCAATGAGGTAGGGTCTTTAGTCTGCTTGAAATTTTATTTTTTTTTTTAAATACTAAAATACATCATAGTTACTAAGGTTTATAAATTATAGTGGAATTCTATGGTATTAATGTAGTACTTTGATTTTTTAGTTATTCAGATGTATATATAAAATCTACAAAAATATTTTTTTCATATACTCTACATGCACAATTTTATAAGGCTTAGCAACCTACATCAAGCAGTAATTGAATACAAAGGATGTAACTAGAAGAGATAATTGTTTGCTTTACTTCTTTATTTACTGTTCTATGTTTTAGGACAAAAGTCTACTAATAATGTAATTAGGCAGTTTTACTGCTTAATAACAATCTTACAATCTCACTCTTCCCACAGACTGTTACCTTTCTTGCAATTATTTTTTTAATGGTTCAATATAAGCTTTTGTTTACATCACATGACGTGAGGTCAAAATAGCTGCAGGCAGTTTAAATACCACTGTATAGAGCAGATAAAAAAGACATTATATATCCAGATATTGCATCTACAATGAAATCAGTATCTCGTGGAGATGGTCTTTCAGTGCCACATCCACAGTTAAATGATTTGATTCGTGACTTGTCTCTATCAAAGCAGCATAGGGAATTTCTTGGCTCTCGTTCACAGCAATGGAATTTATAAGTTCCAGTAACAAGAGTTTTAGTTTACCGACGTCACCATCAAAGACTTGCTTCTCACTACAGCATGCAGATACTCTGTGTTTTTATACAATTCTTGATGCACTAATGGAAAAATTAGGTACTGAAAATCATCCTCAAGAATAGAGACTTTTTATCGACTCATCTAAAGTTTGTCTGAAAGCTGTACTTTTGCACAATGGGAACACTGAAGCCATCAGTTTCTGTTACTCATGCTATGAAATGAAATAAACTTAACAAAGTATGCAGATTATACAATCTTAAATGCAATTTTCAATGAATAAATAGTTATTAATGAAAAAGTTATTTTCACGACACATAAGAATATTTTGAATAAATCTATCATAACTCGAAAACTAGAGGTGATCAGAAATTTTAAACATGAATTTTAGAATCAGCGTCGTCAAATCATTCAGAAACAGTTGTATTTCTTTCTAGCAAAAGAGAGAGAAAAATCTTTTGTTGCCCAGTGTTATGTAAACATTTAATTCTAACTGTGCGGTGCATTATTTCATGCAATTTTTGAAAATTAACTTGTTCAAATATTTTGACAATGACATCTCTGCTTGGTAATTTTCGTTATAATTTTAATTATCTTATTATTAAAGTAATAATAATTATACAGCGCCATCTTCAAGAAATCTAATGATAAATGCTGTCGGCCCCGTAGTAGAATTTCTCTTTACGTCGTAACTAAACAAGATAAGACATGCCTGTAAGTGCTGTATTGTGTTTATCCAAAAAGTTTATTTTACTCATCATAAGATTACTATATTAGTAACCGTTGAAATAAGTGAAATTATTCTATTTAATAATTCAAAAGATTTTAATTGTTTATAATAAGGATTTTTTTATGAGAAACAATGCATTGTATTAAAGCTAAGCCTACTTCGTGGTTCTGTGGTATGACAATATCTTCAGGCTGTAGGCCTAGCTCATATTTTAGGCATTGGATATGCTTTATTGCAAATCGTACGTATAGATATATATATATACTCGCAATTCCTCTTTGTTCGGTCGATTTTTAAATAGCTAAAAGTAAAATAAAAATTTGACCATTCGTTTCAACAATTTAAAAACTATTTATACAATGAAATGCAAAACAAAAACTGCCAATAACATTGTATGAATGAATTGTGTTAAAGGAGCTACAGTTATAGCAAATTAAGAAATAAATCCTAACATTCTAGTATGATACTAAAAAGTGAAATTTAAAACCTACTTGCATGAATATATTTTGATAAATGAAAATGTTTCAATAAACATTAAAACAAAGTTTTCAACTAGTATTACAACTAGAGCTGGTGAAGTATTTTAGTCTTACACATGCCTTATTCAGATCCATTGCCAAGACAGTTTTGATATTTCAAAAAATGCTAAAGATTCAACAAAACATCCCTTACAAAAGTGATCTTGTAAATCTCAGTATTAAACAATAATCTCTGACACATGACTCGTGCATAACAGATAACTTTAAAACAATTGTATCAGTACTGTACATGCACAAAATCTACATGAAATTACTTGTGAAAATGAGTATGAAGTTGGTAGTAAGTTAAAAATGCATAATACTGTTTGTTTTATTATAAGCAACATGAAATTTAAAGATGCTGTTGTAAATAGTTAGGTATAACATAATAGAGAAGCAAGCAGTTAAGAGCATAGTCTTTGCTATAATATGGGATAATTTTGTAATTTTTGGTTTGTCTGAATATCTAGAAATATTATTCACGCAAAAATAACAATCAGTTAGATGATCTTTGGGCTCACGCCATATAACGGGAACTACAAATGGCATACTTGCTCTCTTTTTATTCAGTCACTGTATTAAGCTAGATGTGCACACACGTGGTGACCAATGTTTTTCTTTGTCACCAATTTTACATCAAAAATGGTGGTAGTAAGCTACCTTTACTTTGTGTGTGATGTTTTTCCATAGTAAAATTGTAATATATTTTCCACAAATTTTGTGTGTGAATATTACACTTTAGGACTTTACTTGAACTGGAGACAGCCAGCATTTCAAGTGGTATTTTTTAAATATAAAAGAATTTATGTTTAGAGATCTAGAGTTTAAAAGATTAAAAAAACAAAACAAAGTTTTGCATAATTTGATTATATCGCGGGTATGATGAGAGGAAGAAGATCAGACTTTGCTTTGAACAGCAGCCTGGGCCTTATATAATTAGGAAGGAGACCAATTGCAATGATGCTCAATGCCACCTTCTTAGTTAGAGGAAGAGGTATGCCAGCTTAGAATGACTTTAGACCAGACTAGATGGGGCTTGACCCAAGCAGAAGCAGTATTTGAGACATGATGGCAGTCAACCAAAATTCAATGACCACGTTAGAGGACCTATAGTCAGGATTCTAGGAAGGGTGAGGGGAAATTAAAACTTGTGCTAGCCAAAGGTAAATGTATAGTTTGTAAGCATTTATTCCATGTTTCCTTATTTTCAGAGTAGGGATATATATATATATATATAAACAAACACACACACACACACAGACATATATATATATGTACCTCTGTATTTTCGCCTAGTGTTATCCACTTTAATTTTCTGCATTAAGAGGGATTTATTTGTAAATTATGTATTATTTATATGTTAAAGAGTATTATTGTAAAGTGTGATAATGTATTTTCTTTTAGTAAGGCTTTTTATTTTAAAGGGTCCAGTATATCTTATTGTACATTTTGAATCTATAGTTTTGTACCAGTGGCGGATTTAGGCATAAGCTAAGCAAGTTACAGCTTAGGGCCTCACAATCCGCAGGGGCCTCACAAAATTTCTAGTATTTTTTTTTTTGCTTTTAAAATTTTATCTATGAGAGAGATCAAGCCAGCCAAATGATAGATATGTAATTTTTCAGTTTAAATACATTGCTATTAAATAATTAAAAGGCATATATATATGTTTTAATTCTTTTGTGGCGACCCA